TTTCATTTGTCTCCCACTTCTTTTCATTTGTCTCCCACTTCTTTTCATTGTCTCCCAGGCTGGGTGCTTGTGGTCGGGTTCCTGGCCGGCTTGTCTCCCACTTCCTTTCATTTGTCTCCCTTCTCATTTGTCTCCCAGCCTGGGTGCTTGTGGTCGGGTTCCCGGCTGGCTTGTCTCCCACTTCCTTTCATTGTCTCCCAGCCTCGGTGCTTGTGGTCGGGTTCCCGGCCGGCTTGTCTCCCATTTCCTTTCATTTGTCTCCCACTTAAGATGTGTCCGCCCTTTGTGTCACTGCTGGTGTCCGCCCATTTCCACTGGCCATGTAGCATTTCTATTCATTTGTCTCCCAAAAATCTGTCACTGCTGGTGTACTGCTGGTGTCCGCCCTTTTCCGCTGGCCATGTAGCATTTCTATTCATTTGTCTCCCAGGTCTGTCATTGGTGGTGTCCGCCCTCTTCCGTTGGCCATGCAACATTTCTATTCATTTGTCTCCCAGGTCTGTCACTGCTGGTGTCCGCCCTTTTCCGTTGGCCATGTAGCATTTCTATTCATTTGTCTCCCAGGTCTGTCACTGCCAGTGTCCTCTCTTTTCCGCTGGCCATGCAGCATTTCGATTCATTTCCCAGGTCTGTCACTGCTGGTGTCCGCCCTTGGTCCGTTGGTCATGCAGCATTTCTATTCATGTGTCTCCCAGGCCTGTCACTGGTGATGTCCGCCCTTTTCCGCTGGCCATGTAGCATTTCTATTCTTTTGTCTCCCAGGTCTGTCACTGGTGTGTCCTTGTCTATTGGCCATGAAGCATTTCTATTCATTTGTCTCCCAGGTCCGTCACTGCTGGTGCCATGTAGCATTTCTATTCATTTGTCTTTCAGGTCGGTCACTGGTGGTGTCCGCCCTTGTCCGTTGGCCATGAAGATTCATTTGTCTCCCATGCGACTTCTTTCTTTTTGTCTTTCAGGTTTGGTGCCTGCACTGCTGTTTTCTGCCGCGTGACTGTCTCCGGGAGTGCATTCCTGCCACACTGTGTAACTCTCTCAGCTTTGTTTTCCTTTTCGGGCAAGCGTTGGATGAATGACCGGATTGGATTTCGGCGGCGTGGCAGCGATCTCTCTGTTCAGTTGGGACGGAGGGCATGCGTCAGGCGCCAAAAATCAATTTCATGTCACATCCTTCCCTCCTCATGCTTCTATTTCTTGTCCTCACGTGGTCAGCTCCTTGCTGATTGAGCAGCATGACCAGCATCATGTTCGCACTTGAAGAATAATTCCCCAAAAGGTTTACTGTTAGGGTTTCTCAATTCTTTCTTAAGATGTGTCCGCCCGCTCTGTACTGCTGTGTCCGTCTCTGCCTTGCAATCCTTTACGTTCGTCTCCCAGCTCTGGGCTGCTGTGGCCGCCTCTGCCTTGGAATCCTTTGTCTCCCAGCTCTGGACGTCGCAAGCTCTAGTTTCGATTTTGAAAAACACAAACTGTTTGGGGTCTACGGTGGTGTAATTCTAATTGAATTATTGTTTCTAATAGCGAACATTGTTCCTAGTAGTACGGCCAGGAGCACCTAGTAGCGTCCTTGCTCCTAGTAGCGATAGCGAACTTTGTTGCGGCACTGCACAAGGATTCACGTGAAGCGATGTTCACTTGTGTCCTGCTCTCGACCACGGAGAGGTGATGCAGCTGGCGGTGACCTGGCACAAACATCTTCACCAACTGGTCACGAAAGGCACCCTGATGTTATAATAACTCCATCTTGAATCTTGAGTTTGGTGTGGAGAATCCTGCACAAAAATGAAGAGGCTTCACAAAATGCTTACACATAAGTTAATTCACTGTACGAGACCATCAGGCCTTTCATCAACACCCGGAGATGCATACTCAGAGGCCTCAGTGAGAATAAAGCACACTCTTTGATGAAAGTTCCACTAGTCACTAGTCACAGTGACTGGAATCCCAGAAAGACTAGGAAGCCTCTGCCGCTCCGAAGCCAACGGCAAACTGAGCAAGTTTCAATCTGAGCATCTTTTGACAAAGTGCCCTCTCTTTTTCAATCTGCCGGAAAGCTTCCCAGAGTCATCACTCCAAGAAAATGAAATACACCCTCAAGCCGCTTGCGCCTGCTCCTCATCCTCCATCTCTTGCGGTTCCAATGCTGCAACCTCCTGAGGTCAATCAGGGTCAATGGTTGCAAGAACGCAAGAGGAACTGAGCCTCGCGAAGCCGCGAAGCTTCCTCAGCGAGCACTTGATGCTCGAAATGTAGCTGGTCTAACTCCTCCTGCCAGCAATGAATGAGAAACAAGACAAATTGTCTTCAACTTTGTGAAGATTCTTTTGATGTGAACAACTAAATCTTGTAGTTTATGTTCCTGCTGAAGTTTGATGACTCGGCGCTGTTCTACAAGTCTGGCTGCGAGGACTTCATCGACCTCGGAATGTGCCGCGACTCCAGCCTAAAGCGTTATCCACAATGGAGAGTTAGACCAAGCTGCCGGCCAAGCCAGCTTGTTGTACAGCCTTGCAACCCCAACAGGCATACCTTATATGCCTTCTCATATCAACCTATTCTGGATCGTTGCTTTAGACATACAAGGGAGTATGGTGGTGGGAGCAAGATGTTCATTCAGGTCCAAAGGTGACATGCAAGACAAAGAGCACTGAGTATTGCGTTTGGGTGCCGGGTGACTAGGTCATAGGTTGGAGAAAATGAGGAACCCAAAGGAGGAAGGAGCAAGCATGCAATAACTAAGCAAAAATGAAGGTAAGGAGGCCATACTTTAGGGGCCATTGTGGCATAGTTTAGAGACTGACCCGCCTCAAGTTCCAGCTGTGATTCCAAGTCATCAAGGCAGCGCTCGAGTCGACGTTCAGCTTGTGACAGCTTGTAGCAGCCCTGCACAAGCTGACAGCTTTCCAACTTGGCAAAATGTCGAACTTGCTCTCTGGGAACCGGAATCACATTCCTAGAAACTTCAGATTGAAGCTTCACGGGGGCGGGGCTTGCCAGCGACCAACGATGTACCAACAGTTCAAATGAAAAGGTCTCTCGAAATGATTCCACTCTCCTCCTCGAAGTCTCTGATCCGGAGTTCAAGACCATCCAGAAAAATAAAGACCTCCAAAAAAAGAATAAAATGCCACAAACAGCCTCACTAGAAGACTATCTTGAAGTCAGGACTTGCTGCACTTGCCTTCACAACCGTGGGGATAACAGGTGCATCAAACTTTTTCTTCCTGCTTGCTCACTAGTCACTCGGCTTTGCAAGCTGCGCGTCAAGCTCTGCAGAGACCTCGCCGCACAAACCTTAGTGCAAGCAAGTAGTCAGCTGCTTGTCCCTTTAATCCGCTCCAAGTGCCAATCTAGAGTCTAGAGTGTGCGGGTTTCTTGGCTGTTGCGTCCTCTTCACCTTGCAAAGTGGTTGCGGGAGAGACTGGGAACAACAGTGCGGATGGCGGAAGAAGTGAAAAGCTGCAGCCAAGGAGCTCCTGTTGAAACAAGAAGCAACTTTGGAGACAAGAAACTGTTGGTGCTCACAAAACGTATCAGAAATAGTAGTGAAGAAGAACTGAGCCAACCGGCGTGAACGGCCTCATCTTGAAGTTCAAAGTCTTCCAGTAGAAACCTCTGAGCAAACAGCAAAAACAAGTTGCTTCCTTTGTCGAGATTGCCGAACCTCGGGTTCTTCACCACTGTCATAGGCACACCAGCTTCCCTTCACAGCCATGGCTTGGCCGACAGGGACCTCAGCTACGTGCTCATTGTTTGGGAAGCTGTCGAAAGGGGAACCCCTTCTTCCAACTGCTCTAAAACCAAGACTGCACCTCTTCAACACCAACACTGGTGCTTTTGATCACAACGCAGTATAGAAGACTTCCACAAATAAAGCCTCTATTAATGTGAGCATAACAACAGGGTGATCACCATGATGCGGCATTTTCAAGCACTGGGACAGGTGGCTCCCAGTGCCGAGTGGGGCTCCCCAAATGAGGAAGTCCACAAACAGAAGTTAAGCACAAAATGTCAGCAGTGCCGCGCTTTTTACAATTCATCATCCGACGACTCTTCCACTTCTTTCCTCCTTCGCCTTCCAGATTTTCTGCCACGTGCAGGCAAGCGCTTCGTGTCTTGCCAAGGAGGCAAGCGTTGCAACTCCGGTCCTCCAACAGCCAATGCAAACAGTGCTAGGAATGCAAATATCTAGTGACATGGTTAGCATCCTTTGGAGTTTTCTTATTGCTTGGTAATCTGACTAAATGACCTCTTGCCGGTTGGCAATATTGCATAAATCCTGGCGGCAAGTTGCCTATCAAAAGTCCAGTGGATTGTTTCGATATGGTTGAAGCCATCTCCTGGTATGGCCCGAAAACGCTCTGGGCCACTCTCCGGCAATGCCAATCGATCATGACCACTTAGCCATTGTCGTATGTTTTCTGCATCCAATGCCAATGCATCATCTGGCTCCAAGGCTTGCAACTCCTTCGGATCAAGCGGTGAAACTCTGCCGCAACCTTCAACTGTTCTGTTCTAATCAATCTACCAAACGCTTGCCTAAATATGAAGCTCGCACTTTGTCTACCAAAACACTTTGCCCTAAGTTCGCTACAAATACAGTATCACAAACAGCTCTTGCAAAAGTGAAACATCAAGAATCAGCAAGAGGAGAATGACAGCAAGAAAGGGGGTTCTGCTTCTGCCACGGCAGCATCAGTCCTAAACTCCTTGACTCTACACAGTCTAAGAAGCAATGTCTATATATATATATACTTAAATAAATGTAAGCTCATGATTCTATATGTCTATATTATTCTATATGTCTGCATATTGCCTTTATTGTTTTTGTCATTGCAAAAGTGTGAAAAGTGAAAAGTTGGAATCCATTGGCGAGAATCCATGCCAAATTCGAACACTCCTAGTAGCTACAGCATCTATAAGGAGGGTAACAGGCAACACGCACGGCAGAGCAATCCAAAGTTGGGGAGACTACAGAGAAGAAGGGCTCTTGGGCTCTTGCATGCAACTGCGCTTGCATACACACTTGAGTGACTCTCCAAAAGAAGCACTAGTCACTAGTTGCAACCAACGACCCCGACCAAGAACCGCATACTCTTTACTGCACATTTGACTGCAAAGGTTTCAACTGAGAAAAATGCAAAGAACTGACAGGGATGTTGAGGCAAAGTACATACAAACCTGTTCTGTCATCGATTTCTCACTCCACTGTGTCATCTCTCCTTTTTTAGTCGCAGTTGCCTTTTGCGTTGAAAGCGCACAGAACTGTGAAAGCAAAGTCGTACCACATTCTGCCATAGCCCACGCTCAGGACGGAGCCCAAGCTCTTGCAGCTCAAAGATGGAGTTCAGCATGTGCTCATTCAGGCGGACCAAGGCCTTAAACAAAGAGGTCCCTGGACACCGAGGAAATGCTTAGACAACTCGTTCCTGGTCTGTAACAAAGCAAGAAACGCCAGAAACTGAAAGGTGTATGCTGTTACAAGCAACAAAAGACTGGGTGGGTCTCTGCTTTCTTCATCTCTTCCAGCACGAGAAAAGCATTCTCTGATTGGTGTCGGTGAGAAAGCACATAGCCATGAAGCAGGAGGGTGTACGCAGTTTCATCATATGGGATTGCTCGCTCTTTCAGTTCCCAAAAGCGGCGTTCCCATGTAGACCAGTCAAGCCAAACCATGTCCTCAAAAATCACCACTGAATCAGCAACAATTCATCCACTCTAAGTGGCAAAGAAAATCCAGCTTGAGATATGTTCAAAATCCGGTCCTGCCAAATCTTGTGATATATCTTCTTCCTCAATGCTCTCACCTCATCTTCAGTCATCACAGCGCCAGGCTCAGGGTCTTTGGGTGCATTGAGAGGCCACCTGAACTTGGAATCGCCAACAGGCTTTGCAGAGCGTGTCTCCTCATCATGAGGCCACTGTGGCCAAACTGTGATGCAACGTATGTGAGGTGCTACTGGCAAAGCCCCTTTCCTCAGCACCTTCCCACAAAGAACAACAGTTGCCATGTGCATACCACAGCCAGTAGAGCGATGTCCACATGTTTCGGTGTGCTTGTACAAACACACTCGCAACAACAAATCCAAGTCTTCGTTCGCATGTTACTGCTGCGAGTCTCAAGTCCTGCATGTCTATGCTTTGACTTACTGTAATGCTCTTGAATTAAGATGTCACGCAAGCGTTGTCTTGCTCCAACAATCAGTTAAAAACCATGCGATAGATCTGACTTGTTGGCAGAGCCTCCAACAAACAAGCCCATGACTCCCATGACTGAGCAGTTTCAACCGCTTGTTGCCAGAAGCGACAAGCAAATTGAAATACAGATTCTCTTGTTTAGATGATCATGAAGCAGCACCTTTCCCAGAACCGGATTGGTTCCTATGCTGACATTTGTGAAGCCTGAGGACCCGAGCATTTCAGGGGCGAGACCTTGGGTTCTCGGATTCCATGCCTCAACATGTCGATTCTTTTGCACGTTTCAAAAAGTCTGTGCCTCGGAAAAAAGGGAGCTGTTCGGCTGCTTCTGTCAAGTTCGGGTGCCTAGCAGGTTTGCTGCCCAAATCAGGTACAGCAAACAAATCTTTGACTGCAGGTAACCGCACTTTATTGGCAGATAAAACCACAAATCCAAAGATTAGTATCGAGCGACCCTTGCGCAAGTCCTTCTCTCACTATGGCAGTCTTGAGACTTGGGACCAAGATAGCCGACGTTCCAAGACAAAGGCAAACATGAGGACCAGTTTCTGCGTTTTTTGAATTCAAAAATGTGCTTCTTGAAAGTTCGCCAAAGCTTAGGTGGAAGGAAAAGCAATCCTGAGATATTGTTTCACTGAAGGTGTCGAAATGTCAGAAGGACAAAAATAAATGATGTCTCTACCGTAACAGTTCTAGAACCGATGAAGTGGACCACAAAAAGGAATATAGAAAATCATAGAAGAAAAAAGAAAGGAGCATGAGAATGTGACAGGACGAAGGTCATGTACTGTAACGTTGCACTTTGTTGTACTTTGAGGTCTTGCGAGACCTGCTTTCGATATGCTGCATAGTAAGTTTGGCATCCGGATATGCTTGAGCCAAGTTCCTCTTCCTTTTCAGTCAAAGTATCATCTGAGGCTCTGTACAAAAGTCATCGTGTCCTCAAATGCCTGGTTATCTTTTGGAGAAGCATCCTGCAAGAATGACTCTCATCTTCGGTGCAAGACTTGAGAGACACAATGACTGGATAGCAGTCGTGAGGAGGCTCTTGTTTTCCTGTTTTGCATGGAAGACCTCACATGTCACAAGAGATCATGCCCAGTTAACCAACATCTTGGTCTTATCTAGTAGCTAGCATGCAAGAAAAGAAGCTGCCCCTAGATGCCTCGCTTTGACGATGGCCATAAAAGCACCTCATGACACGATTTCTGATTGCTGCTGCCTCCAGCGACTGCTGCATCTGGGGAAGCCGCCTGTCTTCGCCTCCAAGAAGCCTCACAGAACATCCTTTTTTGTTAGATCTTTGGACAGATTGTTTCCCTGCTCTTTTCCCTTCCTTTCTGTCCTTTTTGCAAAGAGCATGCATTCGTTTCTTGCAAACAGGCTCCAACAAACGATTTGAAAAGCACTTCAGCTTCTTGGGGCACAGCTAGAAATCAGGCGCTCAGCACGCAACTTGGATCAAATGCTTCTGCTTGAAGAAGCCTTGAAGGAGCCCACGCCTTGCTCTGATGACGATCAAAATCAACAACTGCAGAAAGTGTGAAAGCAATTTGTCACAGAAATTGGAGTTGAGCAAATTGAGCCCACAACGCACTCCACGATCGGATCCATCATGAGCAGTGAGTGGTTCAATGAAAATGTCTCCAATGAAGTACATGTTGTGGCTTGCAAATGTCAAAAGAGTTTATGATGTTGCCTGGCTGACCACAACACGCACTGTTGCTGAGCCACTCATATTGTGGCTTGATCTTGCCAAATGTTCCACTTACGGGCAAGGAGCTTAAAAGTGCATCGCAAGATCAAAGACTCAAAGGCTCAAAAGGTTCTTTCATATCCATATCAAAGCCCTGCTACAAATATATGAGCACTTCTCCATCTTTGGTATCCTCAGTCAAAATCAACTACGAAAACTGAGCTATTGTCAGCCGCCTGCGTGTCCAATAAAGAATCTGGAGGGTTGGCTTGTTTTGCCTCGAAATGGCATTGTGGAACAAGAAAAGAACGCAATCAAGCAGCTTGTTTTTTGTGGCGCTTTCTTTTGTAGAACTCAATCATGTTCTTTCCACCTGCAAAAGGCCCCATGCCATACGCTCCTTGGAGCAACTTAATGACTCTTGTTCACTGGTCTTCAAAAGGTGTCCAAAATTCAGATTCTTGTCTTCTCCATGTTCCTTCCCGGTCCTGATCTGCCTCGATTGCTTCTTGCGCAGGCAATAACTCGTCAAGCCTACCAAACTACTCCGCAAGCCTTCTTCAATGCCACGGCACTACCAATCAGATTGTACTTGTGACAACAGCTTCTTCGTTGCCAGGGGTCGCACAGCCGCTGGTAAGCCTGTTGTGTGCAAACTGCCAAGCTGCGTGCACGAATCAACACTAGAGGCACACTCTACCTCGATCAGGTGCTGCGCTTCCTGCGCAGGCCTTGGTACTTGAGCATGTTCTCGGGTCCATGTCCAAGAACACCAGGACTAGGTGAAATCACAGTGCATTCTGGGCAAAAGGCAGAGGCCTTTGCTCTCCTGGCTTCAGTGTCCTGAGAATTTGAATCTATATAGCTTCTATCCATTGTGCCTTTGTAGAAACACTATTTAGAGACCATGGGTTGGTACACCAATACCTGGAGAAGGTTGCCCGAGCAGCAACACCTGCATTTGACCAAAGTCCTCGGCACTGTGGACAAGCGAAAAGGATCTGGCAGCATGGGCGCCTCAGCAATGGCAAACGTGCTTCACGCATGAGTTTATAACAAATGGAACCGTTTTCTTGTTCACAGAGCGTACACTCAGATCTAGAGGACAACACACTCATCTTGTGACCTTTTTCATCGCTCACCAAGAGATTTGGCACAGTCGTCTTCAATTCTGCCTACCACCCCTCCAGCATATTGTGGACTCCTTTGGTCCATGGTCAAACGTGAAGAATCACTTCGGTCATTGTCATCTTGCACCGGAATAGCTTCAAGAGCTTCTGGGCTAATTTCTGACTCTTGTCCATCCTTTCCCTTCTCAGGCGGATCGTTTTGATGCGAAGTCTGCAAAGAATTTGTAGTCACTTCTCTTTGGAAACTGGAACCGGAAAAAGAAGCTTGCTCTTCTTGCTCTGAAGGATCAGTCTTGTTGAGCATCGGGAAAGCCACCTTGGGTGCGACAAGCCTTCTAAGAACTTCGTGCTGAAGTATATCAAACCTTTCCAAAAGAAGCAAGCGGAGGTTTTGCATGTCATCCTGAAGGCTTCCAACATCTCGTGCTATTTTGAGGATTGCCTGCGACTCTTGTAGTGGGGCAATCTCATCAAGATCTTCAGTCGAAGGGATTGAATTGTATCGATGATCTCGCTCCGAGTCCAATACAACTTGTCTTCTGTACTCAGGCCGCACAGGCCCTCTGCCAGACTCCAACAGCCCTCTTGACCTTCCCCTATCGCCCTCAGAATCCTCTCCCCTCAATTCCAGCAAGAGGCTGTGGAGCGACTGCGAGAGCTCATTCACAACAGCAAATCTGTCTGAATGACTTGAAGAGGACACGGAACTTGAATGGCAAGAACTATCATCCGATGACAACTCTGGTTGTTTGACGTGACGCAAGCTGATTGCGCGTTGAATAGCCTTCTTTGCCCTTCTCCTGTGGCGTTCCCTGCGGCGGTGCTTCTGGGCCTTTCTCTTTTCCCTTTCTTCCATCACTAACTCAATGAAGATTGCCGGGACAATTGAAATTGATGACAAAGAGAAGAAAACAAAGATTGCGTAGAAATATAGCAAAGACGGATGCAGCTCCAAACATGGCCGGATAGCTTCAGTCCAGCCATCCATTGTACTGATTTTGAAGAGTGTCCACATAGTGGTTCCAAGGTCCGAATAGCTGTCAGCAACCTGCTCATCTGGAAAGTCCCACAACATGTTGGTTGCAACCACACTTGCCAGCACCAATGACGCCAGGATGACAATACCAAATTGCAACATCTGAATTAATGCAGTGTGCATTACTCTGCGAAGATCTTTCAGATGCTTGTTTGATGCAAAAATGCGAAAAAGCGCAAAGGCACGTGCCACTCGCATAGCTGCAAGCCCGTGCACAAATCTCCCTTCCCAAGTATCCACAAAAATGTCAAGTATACTCACAACATTAAGGATTCCATCAAATGCATTCCAAAAAGCGTTTTGACCTGTGAGGAAGAACAATTTGACCTTCTCTGTAATTTCAACATCTCTGTCGTCTTCAGCTGTATTGAAAAGGAAATTGTACAAGTTGTAGCCCCACTGACTGCAGAATATGGCAGCAAAGACTGCCTGTGCTGCATTTGCAAACATGCGGAAGCGAGTCTGCGAAATGAAGCAAGCTTCCACAAGGGTAATCACAACGCTCAAAAAGATCACAGACGCGGAAGCAATGTCCCACATGTTCAGCTCCGAATGTGTGTTCTTCGCTTGGCATCTGTGGCTTGTGCGGTGCCTTAAGCTTTTGCGGCGCCTTGGCACCGTTCTTTCAGATGCTATCAATTCGAGCTCCATGGCCTTCAGCCTCAATGTATTGAGAACGGGGAAAGAAACATCTGGTCCTGCACAAATCACTCAGAATTGTTCTATATATAAATCAAAATATGTTTGTCGGAGTCCATGCAAGATGTCACACAAGCAGAGTCAACAACAAATCAGCTAGCAGCTAGCAAGTATATTAAAGGTATTTCATGTGTGCTGCGTTTGCCTGGGTTGCCAGTGCTTTGGGCATCCACTGAGCAAAATCATAATGCGAAAGTGCTGCGAAATCAGGTAATCCCAACATCCTTGTACTAAAAGCTCACCCAGTATCACACTGTGCAATGTAAACCATCTGAGTTCCCACCAAGTTTGGCAGTGCCACATTCTTCAAGGCTGTCTCCGAGCTGACCATGGTCCTGGAGCTGAAATAGTACAGAAACCCTATGCCTCTGAAAACAAAACTAGATACTGCATTTATTGTGGCAACGTCCTGAGTCCATCTGCAAAGGAGATTTTTGCATATCAAACTGCCGGTATTGGACATGAAAGAACAACCAGGACCTTGCAAGGAGCATGATGTTTTATTGTTTTTATGCTCAAGTGTTTTTTGTGTTCGGTGCTCCACAAGCAAATCCTTCTAAAAATCATCTGTCTGTCGTCGAACCTTCCACTTGTCTTTGTAATTCTGAATTTTGTTTGAGCTTCAGGTTGAAGGTGCTAGAAGCGTTTTCCGAGTCTGGACAAGGCCAAACACACAGGTAGTACGGGTAGTGTTCAGTTCTTGTTGATGGCCCCCAATTAAGGTTTGTCTCTCCACTAGTGTCGGGGCCACCTTTGGATAAAACAACACTGTCTGTCTGTCTGTATGTATGTATGTATGCATGTATGTATGGTTCAATGGCTGAATATTTGCAAATGTCATTGGTTTGGATTGGTTTCATCCATCAATTTGTCATTATCCTATCTAACGTACCACATGGGCCGAAACTTGTGCTGCAAAACTGCAAAACAAACCAAAACCTGTGTTGATAAGCAGGATGTTGAACAAAAAGCGAGTTTCAACCAACTTTGCATTCGTGCCACAAACAAAATTGTTTGATCTCGTCAACTCGTCACTCTAAAGCTTGTAGTGAACAGTTGCAATGTAAAGAACCAAAGCACAGAAAACAGCCGCTACGGAGTATCGAGCGCAATGCCAGCAAGTGTTTGCCAGGCAGAAACAAATCAAAAACCAAAACCTGATCGACAACGTGTGTGTAATAATATTCACGCTCTACATATCACACACATTGACACTGCAGCCTGTAGCACAGTTTTGGATGCCGCCAAACAAAAAAGAAATACGTGTGATATTTGGACAGTTGTTTGATTTTGTCAGTTTTCCACTTGTCCATTCTCTGTGGTTAGTGTCATCAAAAAATATCTGTAAGTTGTCATGGTTCCATTGGCAAATCGCATTTGGAAAGAGACTTCAACCCCCAAACCAAATTTTTGGTTCTCTTGGTTGGCCGTGCCTCCTCCACTCCCCCACTCTGCTCTCTAATTGAACTCAATTCTTGTCCCAGCCCCACATCTTTGTGTGTTTTTTCCTGCGGCATACCACGTCCTCCTCTTCCCGCCTCCTCAATCAATCAATCAATCAATCCATCCATCCATCCATCCATCCATCCATCAGTCAATCAACCAATCAATCAATCAATCAATCAATCAAGAGGTTATACAAGTTGCTTGGTAAAGAGCAGGCTCTACTGCATCTGCATCAAGGTGAACTGCGCCAGCTTTTTGAGCAGAGTGGGTACCCCGAGCTCTTACAGCAATGGCAAGTACAACAAGGATCCTATCTAATCCCTACTGCCACCGTTGCTGCTGCATTGCAAGCAGCAGAGGCATCCGCAGCTGCCAATTTCGTACTTCCATTTGGCCATGAGGAGGTTGACCCCATTCAGCGTGCACGTAGACAACGTTTGTTCTGGGACAGGTTCAAAACTATCTGCCCGCGTGGGACATTTTATCATGGTCCACTACTACAGCACAATGGCCAGGAATGTCGCACAGCGCTTGAATACGATGAGGCCATGCTTGCTACTCGGGACTTCTGGTTCTGTCATCCGGTTGAATATGACCCGGCTTGGAATGAAACACTTTCGGCTTACCGACGGTGTACATCTCCATGGCCGCCCATCCCGGAACCCACGCCTCAAGATTACTTTCAACACTTGCTACAAACGAAGGACTCCGCTCCTGGTCCGGATGGTCTGCCGTATGCCCTATGGCGAGTCTTTCCTCAACAGACTGCCAAAGTCTTACATGATGACTTCTGCCATATGCTGTCGTGCACCCTCCCACCACCTACGCAAGTTGGCGTATGGATTCCCAAGCCAAGCAGGGGCCCACTGCTGACTTTTTTTTGCACTCCTTCAGGGCCTGTTGGTCCTCTCTCCTGACCATGGGAAACTGTTCAATCCTCAGCTCTTCAGCCGCAGCATCATTTGTTTTTTTCACCTCCTCCTCACTTGTCTCCTTCTTCTCCTCCTGCGCTCCATCATCAGCGCCAGGGACTTCAACCTTGGCTAGACTGAAGTTCTGTACTGCTGCTTTGCGCACTTTGTTGGCTGCCGCTGGCTCCCTCCTTTATGGCTACCGAGGGACGCCACAGTTCCCTTTGGGCGACCTGTTGTTGACAGGAGAATTCTCAGAACAGGGAGCGGCTCTCTTGTGTTGTGTCCTCAGATAGCCTGCCTTGTCTCTCATAATCTAGTTTAGACGGTTGCAAAACAGGGAGCAAGCGCAATTCTATGCTGTCACTGTCGCGACTGCTGTGTACTTCTTGAATTGGGTTGATGGGATCGTGTGCGTCGGCGGACCCGTGCCGAGGGATTCGGTCGGTCGGTGACCAGAATACCACACCAATTCCTGCCAGGAATTGTCCAAGAAAACGGATATTTTTCCACGAGTGCGGACGCCATGTGGGCAGAGTGCCCAGGTCATCATTGAAGGGGAAGGAAACACAACATGATGAGGGGAAAAGAACACAAGCAACCCCAAAACCAAACACAAACACCAAACAAAAACCAGAACCAAGAACCAAAACACCCCAAAGGCCAGAGGCCGTTTCTCCCTCATCTAAGAGTGTTTCCTCTGTACCATGGTGAGACATGTGAGAAAGACTGCGAACTAACTAGGGGCCTGAATTCACTGTGAAAGTCGGACGGCATGGTCGGCGCAAGAGCGGAGTGCAGCAAAGCCTATCAAAGGGGCTTCGCCCCACCCACCAAGCTGTGACCAGGGGGGCCACTGCATCGAATGGCAAAGACGATGATCAGTTACTCTGCAAGACCTGCATTGTTGATTGTCAGCCAGTCTGATCCTTGCCCAAGGGAGTCAGTTATTGCTCTGCCTAGCAAGCCATGGAAAAAGCCCATCTCGTTGCACAACCCTTTCAACTGATTGCACGACAGAGACGAGAGGCATGTCAATTGTCAGGCAGTGGAGGCAGAGACAACGAAAGAGGTTTGCTGACGATGGTGATGCCATCCCCCCGTAGGGAGGTCACCTTTGCACCCCTTAGCAGACAAGGATTGCCATTGGGGTACTCTCTGTTTCAAAAAGAGAGAGCGGCATTGAGTTGCAAAACGTCTCCTGTTGCATGCAAGGCCCGGGTGAGACAGGTGAAACATGGACCTATCCTAGCATGGTACTTGTGCCTCTTTGTACAGCAATGGTCATGGCGTGGTCGCTCCAAGGAGAACTAAGGTTCTGCCTGGCAACCTTCCATTACCATTCTCTACCACCCGCCTCCTAGGAGCGAAAGCTAAGGCTCTCATTCCCAAATTTGACCGCAGTATAGCAGTCCATTCCCACTGTCATTTGCTTTGCCGACTTGGTGCGCGGCTGCTTAGCTGTTGTCTCTTCATTGCGTGCGTGTGTAGTTTCTTCACGCCCTAGTATGGAGCATTAGTGGCTATCCACTCCCTTGGCTTGGAGGCTGCATACACGAATGGCTAGTGCCGTGTCCAAGGGCACAAATTGATCTGGCCGGACTCAAGCTAAGGCTCGCGCCCATTCTGACGGTTGCGGTACCACCACAGGCTGTTACATTTAGCCAGGGGCAGTTTAGGCCAAACCAGCAACATACCCTGCGTCCGGGATCATGTGTAGCCATGGTGGCCAGCGCATGTTTGGGCAGATGGCAAAAGCGTTTTCTTCAGCATAGACCCCTCGCCATTTATGCCGGCCAGGCAACTTGACTAGCCTTTTGAGGGCAGTACAGTCCAAGAAGGCTCTGCTCGCTATGTACCTAAGTGAGGGTGGTATAGCAAGTTCTGGCAGGGCTGCACAATTCATAAAGGCCTTAACTCGAATCGTATGGAGTGTCTTCGGGAGACGAACCTCATTGAGGCTCGTACAGTGAACGAAGGTAAATTCTTGTATTTCCTCGATTTGTGTGTTCGAAAGGTCAACATTCTTGAGCAGATGGCAGTTGTCACAGGCATGTGCGCCGATGACTTTGAAACTCTGCGGGAGCGTTAGTGCAGCTATCCCTGTTGAGCTGAGGCAACCTAGAGCCAACTCCCTGACAGTGGGTGGCGACAGCAGCTCGCTCGGGGAGGGACTCTCGCGCAGGGTAAATTCGGCTAGGTTGATACAGCCTCTGAAGAGGTAGTGCCCAAACTTGGTGCAGCTGCTAAACCGATTGGCGTTATCTTCAGTGGTATAGACCCACTGCAGTGAGCAGCACTCGTCAAAGGCTTTGTAGCCAAACTCCCGGCAACCAGGAGCAGTGACACTATTAAGCAGATTACAGCTTCGAAATGCGTTGTCAGAGATGCTAACAACTGTGGACGGCAGCTTGACAATTCGGAGCTGACGGCACGAGTGCCACGCTTCTGGGCCAATAAGGCGAATACCTGACTCAACGCTAGCATGACGTAGGCGCGGCACTCCTGCGAAGGCCCCTTCTGGGACAGCGCTTTCTGGGTTCATGGGGACATGGACAGCAAGCGGAACTTTGTCAATGGGATAACCTTCTAAAAGTTCCTGCGAAGGCAGGAATTCTCTGAAATCCTTGAAAAT